GAGGGTGAGCTGTGGAGACAGATAAAGTCTGAAGGTCTGTCTTTGAAGATTACAAAAGCCCATGGTGAGTGGGCAGGGGGAAGAGGCCTTGCTCACCGTTGTCCGAGGACCGGCTACCCGCACATGGTAGAGATTGTGGCCTGTCCCCCCGCCTGTTGCAGCGAGGCTGAAAGGCACGACCAGAGCCTGGCGAGCTGACCTCTAACCTATCTTGCAGGTAAACCCCAGCAATCTTTTGAGAGCAGTAACAACCCTTCTCTCTGCTTTCTGTCCTTTCAAAAGATTGGTACAGGAGATGTTAGCATTTCTGAGGACTGAGAGGCACAGTGTGTCAGAAACGGCACCAAAAAAGCCTCAGCCCAAGCCTCCAAGTTATGTAAAAGGCAAAGAACTGAGTCTAATTAAAAACCACCCACGCCTGTCTTACAGATTGGGAAGTCGGGATGCAGGATGTGCAGCTGCCTCCGGGGCATCCGTCTCCGTGACAGATGCTGCACTCCTCTCAGTTTCTAACCGCTTTCACAGGGTGCAGGGACACTTAAACTGAAGGAGGGCTGCCTGAAACACTGCTAAGATCAAACCGGCCCCCTCTGAGTGCGTTTTCCAAATGCACCCTCCCTGCGCCCCCTCAGTGCTGCCCATTAAGTAACCTGGTTCAGGGGTCTGGAAGAGGCACCCCCCGATACCTGCAGGGGGTGGCTGTCATTTGGCACTGCTTATCACGACCTTATGAACTTGTCCTGTCCTGTGCCATCCTCACCATCCCCAGGTGGGCATCACAAACCAACCTAACCTATTGGTACGGAGTCAGTTCCACCGCGTGGCGATTTGTCATCAAGCCATAAACTGTAACAGGAGGACACTGCCCATCGTGCTTCTGAGGAGCAGCTGGTGGAGACGAACCACTGACCTTGTGGTCACACACTTGGCACTAGGCCGCCAGAGCTCCTTGCAGGTATGAGAGTGAGGGGACAATGACAGGAACACCAAGGAAGGCCTGGCTTCCAAACCCCTGAGGGTGTGTGGCGTGGAGGGCTGTGGCCAGAGGGCTTTGTGGGGTCAGGTACCTCAGTGTAACCTGTCCGAGATTTCTATGGGAACCTGGGTCCTCCATGGCCCCACACTGCTGGTGTCTGAAGCACTGGCATCTCTCTGTCCCTGCCCCGTCCTACTGCCCACAGAATGGGCTCTGCATGCAGCTGAGGACCACGGGGGTTTAGTGGCCTGAGTCCTGCCTGACTCTCCCTTAACCCCTCATCCTGCCTCCTCACTAGTCTCTCTCGGCCCTGCCTTGCCTTCATCTTAGACTCTATTCAACAACACAGAGGCTGTCGACAGGCCACCTCTGAAGTTGAGGCACCTCTGAGATGACTGGTCAGTTGCTGCCCTGATTGGGATGTAATTCCACACGGAGCTGATATTATGGGTAATACTGCACCCTTCTCAGTGTGAGCCGCTCTGCTCCCGGCATGCCTTGCAGCTGGCCCTGTGCACGGCTCACAGCCCCTCTGGGAAGAGATGTTGTCAACGCTTGTCAAGGTCCCAAGGAAGCTTTTCTTTAGAGAAGAGGCCCCACTCTGCCTCCCAACCTGATATTTATCTTAACAGCTTCTTTTTCACAGCACGGTTTCTTAACTATATTTTACTATGAATTCTTTTTCTTAAAAAAAATGCTTATAAAATACCGAAATGCCCACCCATACAGCTCACTAAGACTCTAGCAGTAACCAACCCAAAGTCCAGAGGTTTGAATCCACCGAGAGCTCTGAGGGAGAAAGATGGGTCATCTCCTCCCGTGTGATTCACAGCTGCTGCAGACCCACTAAAGGATCAATTATGAGCCAATTCCGACTCAATGGCACGTAACACCCACCACAACCAACCCTGGGTGGTGTGGCAGTTAAAAACGCAACTGGTAAATGGAGCTGCTCTGTGGGAGAAAGATGTGACCGTCTGCTTCTCTGAAGTCGACAGTCTCAGAAACCGCTCTGCATCTCTATGAGCTGGGACCCACTTGATGCAGTGGACACAGAGGAAGCACATCTCATGGTGTCAGCAGAGATCTTTTTTCCTCTTTCTTAAGAAAAGCGAATCCTACTTTTTTTTTTTCACATGCCACCTTGGAGCCCGTGAAGGCCTCCTGGAAGGAGGACTTCTAAACCCCAAAGACGGCTGGGAGGCTTTGGTGCAAAGCCACTTTTGCTGGCTATAAACAAGGTCTCCGGAACCAGAGGGAGCACACAGCTCTTCTTTAAAAAGGTGTTGATGCCTGAGATGAAACGGAATTCTACTGAAGCAAGAGATGTGTTTGTGTTTACAAAGCAAAAACAGTAAGAGTGAGTCCTGGTGGCAAACACAACAAAACCAGAGTAACCTGGGGAAAGGTAACTCGTGCCCACAGAAACACTGGCATGGTTCGGGCCAAGTTACGGAACAACCTTCCTGCTAAGGCCACTGGACACAGAATCATGTAATGCTGTATCTCTCGAGGATTTAAACTTATTGAAAAGCAAATAAAATTATGGATTTGTAAAAAAAAAAAAGGATAGCGAATCCTGTATATGCTAATCTAGAACAAGTGTGCAATCTTGGATGACGAAGAAAATGAGGTAGCTAGAAAATTCTGAATTCTAAGGCAATCCTACTTATGGTCCTTCTTGCTCTCCCAACATGAGCCAGAACGAGACAGTCAGAGACGTAACTGAAGGGGAATTGAGGCAAGTAGGGGTGTGGGTGAACCTCATTTCAGGTGAGCCTCATTTCAGGTGAGCCTCATTTCAGGTGAGCCTCATTTCAGGTGAGCCTCATTTCAGGTGACTAGCCAGCTGTGGGGGACGAGAATGAGGGATCTGGGTTGTAGAAATCAGCCCCAAACAGCCCCAGAACAGCCAAACTGACATATTTCTCAATGTTATGTGACTTAGGAAAAGTTGAGTCATTTTTCAACAGAATGTTTCATCAAAGCCAAAGTGTTTTTTTAAAGGGTGGATTATTTGAGTGGGAGGCCAATACTTAAGAGCTGCTTTTCTTCCTTTTCAGAACTCTGATCTTTTTTTATTTTCTCCCTGTGGCAAATTAAAAACTACAATGCAAGATAAAGAAACTATTTTTTCCCAGATGATTGCAGATGAATCTGTTTCTTTTTTTTTTAATTAATCAAAGAGAAATCTTCTTATTAGTGAAAAGGGAACATTGACCCTTTGATGATATCATAATATCTCACAAAGACATTAGGGGAGGATGAGAGGTTTTTCTGTGTGTCAAATTCCTTTTTCTTGTCAGTTTGCCCACGATTTCACCAAGCTAATTTTAATATCTGGCACTAAAATGGTAGAGGAGGAGGAAATGACATTCTCCTTTTGAATCAAAATTTCAGCCTGAGAGAGGTGAAAGATCAGATTAATAACCTGAACTTCACGCCAAATACAGAATCCAAGTAGCAGTTAAATTACACCTTTTGGAGCCAGAGAGCCTGTGGCCCATGTGCCCACCTCAACGTGAAGAACCACAGCGTTTTTAAGACATCTGGGGTCTGGGAAATTCTCTTTAGATTCAAAAGTTTCGTTGACGTTCATAACTAGTAATCACAAAATGTTTAAAATATGGACATGTTTGACAAATTACATAAAATAGCTTATCGAGGTGAGCTCTGGTGGCTTAGTGGCAAGAAGGTATACTGCAATCCCAGAGGTGCACGGTTCAACTCCACCAGATGCTCTGCTGGAGAAGGAGGAACAATCTCCTCCTGTACCAGTCAAATCTGATTTGACGGTACATACACAAAATAATAAAATTTTTAAAAAAATTTTAAAAAATAGCTTCTCGAAAAGGTGTGAAATAATGTCAGAGACTCCCTTTTCAGACAGAGTATTTAAGGCAATGAAATCCAATAGCAAATGCCTCGCATCACCAAAGCAGAACAAATGTAGGCAGGTTAACATTGTAGAAAGAGAAGGGACACTGAGTGGTCACACACAGAGTGGTCACACACAGAGTGGTCACACACTGAGTGGTCATACACTGAGTGGTCAGGGGGGGCAGCTGCTCTCCTCACTCATACATGTTCCCGCGTGAGCTGAGAAGGTGGCCCTCCTGCCCCCCAGATCCCTGAAACCAGCAAGCTCCCCTGTCAGGGAGGCATTCAGGATGGCATTCAAGTTCTCCTGACAGCTTCCCTGGGCGGGACCCCCGCATCGCCACATCCCAGGGGGACAGTGGGCAGCTCACCCAGCTTGGGTTCAGTCTCTGCACATATACAGAAGACTTGCTCGAGAGGCAACTTTGAGGGCAATGAAAATGCATTCTGGGGGCCACCCAGCTTCTCGCCTTCGGGCACAGCGAAGGCCGGCCCGCTCCCACCCAGCTTCTTGCCTTCGGGCACAGCAAAGGCCGGCCCGCTCCCGCCCTCCGTACCTCTCTTCCACGGAGACCTCCTTGAGCTGCTGGTGCGGCTTGGTGCCCTCCATCTCCCTGATGCTCACGGCGTAGATCTTGGTGGTGTAATCAATGGCCTTTTCTCTCGCAACATCACTGTCGTAGCCTCAAACAACAGAGAGAGAGAGAAAGGGAGAGAGTGGGGAGTGGGGTCGGTCTGGGGCAGCACAGGAAGGGGTGGACCAGGGGGCCGTGGGCACAAGGCTCTGCGTGCTCACCTCCATCCTCCTCTGCGTCCGTGTCTGACTCCTCGCTGTCCACCAGCTTGCTTTCCTGGGCCCCCACGAACTCCCTGGTCCAGATCATCAAGGCCGTGTCAGCGCCGCCCACCGTGAGCAGGACAGAGTCATTATGCAGCCACCTCACGTTGGTCACGTGGGCACTGTGCCCCACGTACTTCTTGAATCTTGCGTGCTGGCCCTGGAATGCAAGGCCTGGGTCAACCGGACGGCTTCCCACCCCATCACTCCACAGCCCATCGCATCCAGGTTATCACTTGTGTTGGTTTTTACTGGACGCAATCTCATTTAGGCAGTGCCTTCCCTGCATTTCTCTAGAACGTAAATGTCAAGAGGATGGGATTTTGTCCTTTTTTTTGCTCTGACACACACGGGTCTGTTATGGAATTGGGGTTTTGTGTGTATGCTTCAAGGTGTCTGTCTGTCTGTGTGTTGTAGCGTAGTGCACAGCGTGTGGCGCTGGAAGCTGGGCCATGCAGGATTTCCAACACCAGTCAGACCAACCATGGTGGACACCGGTTTCTGCAGAGCTCTCAGGCTAACACAAACTCGGAAGAAGGGCTTGGTGGGCCAATTCCCAACGCAGTCTATTACCCAGCAGGGGGTGGAGCTCCAGGGCTGGCAGATGCACAAACAGAAACATACAGCAATCGCCCGCACGGTGCAGGACGGGGGCATGCTGCCCTATGCTGAACAGAGCTACCCGGGTCAGTGCCGACTCCATGACGATAACAACAAACTAGCCAACTCACCGCCGGTCAGTTGGAAACAACTCACAGCTGAGCCTCCAGCAGGTTTTCAGAGGCGAGAAATCACACAGGAATAATCAGCATTTTTCTCACACAGAGCAGGCTGGTGGATTTGAACCCCCCGCCTTTGGGGTGACAACACAAATCTCTGCCCACTTGGCCACCAGAGATCCCAGAATTCTGTGACGCATGGGCTGGGGGATTGAAGCTGCGGCCTTCCTCGTGGCACAGAAGTCTACCCCTGAGCCCCCAAGGTCGTGTGAACAAGCTTGTTTTCGCTTCTCTGAAAGGCCAAATATGACATTCCAAGGTCTCTTGTGGAAAAGCCCTGACTGTGAGTTAGAATGACATTTGGGATCAAAAGAGGCTTCCCACTAAAAACGAAGAGAGTCCATCCAGCCTCTGATGAAGCAGGAGAAAAAGAAGTCAAGTCTGATTAATATTTGTCTATCATGTCTTATCAGTGGTCCCTGTATCTCCTTTCTTGTACAATCCAGAGGAATATTTTTATCAACTATTTTGTAAATGAAAGTTTTTTAGTAGCTCTAGAAACATTTTTAAGAAGAAGGAGATTCCACTTCAACCCATTTTTAAGTGTAAATGCTTTTTTTTAAGAGGTGAGATCATTTGCTGGTTGTTTATTTTTTGGTACAACCAGAAAATGTGGGATGTTAATATTGGGGGGGGGGGGCTTTGGATGTCAGGGTAACATTCCATGGGGGAAGGGACAGTTTATATATCCCATAATATGTAGTATACTTAATGACAATTTGGAGTCATAGTCATGCATTTATGACTTGAACATTTTAAATTAAGTCTATTTTCCATGTTTTTAGATACATAAATTAGAACATTGTTTAGTAAAATTTCTTCTTAAACATAACCACTCCCTTTTCTTGGCTTTCTCCCTGTCAGAACTACATGGATTTTGTAACATCTTTGGTCTTAGTAGTCCAGTTTTCCTAATAACCTTGTTATGTGCTGTGAACGGTTGAAAATTTGAATGTGTTGTGTATGTGATAGTAAATTGTGAATTAGTGCGACTTAATGATGTGACAGTTTATCAACAATTGAAGATATTGGTACTTATTTTCTTCTTTATGAAAACTTTCCTCCAAATTTAAAGCTGGAAGGTCACTGGAATTTAGAAAAGAATTATAACTACATGGCTTTTTAGATTTTTGGTACGTGCATTAAGAACTGTGTACAGGTTGTTCATAATGTCTCTGTACTGGCCCTTAAAACAACCAATAAAATATCAATCATGAAAGAATTAAAAAAAAAAAAAAGAGGCATCCCAGTCATGCCCCACACGGCCGGCCTTCTGTGCCACAGGCCAGGCTGAGAGAGGAGCGTGAGCGGCATTTCAAAAGAACACAGCAGACTTTGCCACAGACTGGAAACAACTTCTGACATTAAAAACCACGCTAACAAAAATGGATTTAATAACAAAGTCAATCTCTTTATAGTAAACATAAAAACCAAACAGATGCGACCCAAATGGTTAGGAATGACTAGAAGCTTCACAGAGTGGGGCGCCCAGACCCCAGGTCCGTCACCCCTGTAGAGACGGTGCAGGAGGGCCCGAGTCCCCACTTGGCCGCTAACCCCAGGGCTGTCCTGGCGGGGGACGGGTGGACGCTGGCACTGGCCTTTATTTCTGGTTCATGAGACAGAAACAGCTGCAGCAGGAGCCATTCCAAGAGGGGGCATCTCCACATCCCCTTGGCAACTTCCAGGGAACATTGCACACTCGTGCGATGAGGAAAGCGGCCTGGCCTCTGGGAGGTCGGGGGAGGGCCTTCGGTGTCCCGATAAACAAACTATCAAATAAGTGACAAGAAGCTTCCTGAGAGCTGTGGACGATCACACCGGAGACAGGGACTCAGGCAGAGACACACGGCAGGAAGCAGTGTGGCGGGCATAGGACTCAGAGGCTCCTGGTCAAGGTCTTTCTGCATCTGACCAATCCCTCTCTGAAGTGAGGAGAGAGATCAGACAGATGAGGGAAGCGAACAGGCAGGGGCGTTTCCAGGAAGCCCTCAGGGCTTCTAAGTCTCCAGCAAACAGGCTGAGCAGCACAGGGGCGTCCAGGAAGCCGCAGAATGCTGTGTGACCCGTGGGAGACAGAGGTGTGGGAGCCGAGCGAACGGTCAGAGTGGACCTCAGGTATGCTCGCTCGGCCTTCCTGCTGTGAACGGGAGCCCACGCTTAAAGCAGTTACAGAGACAGTTACGTTTTCTTTTTTAAAGGAAGAGAAAGCAAAAGAGCTGGAGAAGCACTTGGCAACCTTACTCTTACATAAGAGGGAACAGAGGGTGAAGGAATACAGAAGAAATCTCAGCAGGAGAGGGGAAGGGCTCTGAGAGGCAGCCAGGGGATGAGTCAGGCTGCTGTGGGAGAGAAGGTGACACACAGGACAAAGAGAAAGGGGGAAATGCCGATGCTTTTGTGAGCCTGGTGTCTGAACACAGTTGACTCTCCAGCGGGTTTTTAGAGGAAGTAAACGCCACGGCAGCAGACTGCCCATACTTCTCTGAAGGAGTAGTGGGTGTTGAAGGAATGTGCCTTTGGGACTGCAGTGCAGCTTCCTAAGGCCACCAGAGTGCTCCTAATATTGAGAAGACAGGAAATCCTTGAACACCTAATCATACTCCTGTGAAACCTAGAAGAAGGCCAAGAAGCAGTTGTCCAAACAAGAGCTAAGGAACACGGCATGGTTTAAAATCAGGCCGGGGGTGGTGTGTCAGAGCTGTGGCCTCTCTCCACACCTGTTCAATCTGTATGCCGAGTGAGAAATCATTCCAGAAGGTGGACTATGTCAAGAAGAATGTGGCATTAGGTTTGGAAGAAGAATCAGAAAACCACATGCGTCATAAAGATGACCTAAGCTTGCCTGCAGAAAGATGACTTGAATGAAACATTTACTGCAGAAGATCAAAGACCATAGTCTTTAACATAGGTTACATGTCAAGAAACAACGTATTCAAACTTGGTCAATAAAAAAAACTCTCACCACTGGTGAGCAACATGATA